GCAGTTGGCATAAAGACCCAAGCCCAGTCCTAGGCTGGCACTAATTTCCTCGCTAAAGCTTTGAGCTTTGTAGCTGAGTCATAAATTTATATTGTTGACAATGAGCTCCCTGATCTCCAGAAGTTTTTTTCCTCAGAGTGGCCTCCTCTGTAAGGGAGGTCATCTAAAAAGAGGAAGACTTTGGAGTTATCTGGGGTGCCACGCCCCGCCTCCCCAGCACAGCCAGTTCTGTAAACTTCCCCATCCAGTTGGTAATCCACACTGACCTCTCAGGAGAGGGCTGGAGGACACCATTTCCTGTGGTGTGCAGGGACTATGAAGGGAGAGATGTTCCTTTTGGTGGTTCCCAGTCAAGTTGTACCCTGTCAGACCCCTGTCTTAGACCCAGAAAGCTGTTAGCGTCTTCCCTCTTCCCCAGTGATGAGCAATCTTGGCCCAGGGCAATAATCTGTCTCCAGAAGTTCCATTTAGTGTACAACTTATTTTATACACAGATGTATGGTCTTTCCACGTCACAACTGCTGCTTCATCTCTCCTCTTCCTCATGCCCTCCCAATACAGACCACACACCCGCATATATACAGATGTCTGTCCATGCAACGCAATATTTATGGAGTGCCTACTATAATGGGTATGTGAGGTGTTTTTCTAGGATAGATTGGTGACTGGAATAGTCAAATATCTCTGCCAGAGTTTGTATTCTAGGAATGGGAGGGAAGGCAGACATGAATAAAGAAGTAAATGTCTAGTCTGTGCAATGGTGTGTATTTGTTTCTACCTCTACAGTCACAAATTACTGCAAACTCTGGCTTCAAACCACACACATTTCTTACCTTATAGTCGGTCTGATGCACTTTTAGCTCAGCGGGTTCAATTGAGTAGTTGACAGAGCCGTGATCTCTCTTCGAGGCTCTCAGGGAGTCTGTTTTCTTGCCCTTTGCACCGTCTAGAGGCTGCTGCCTTCCTTGGCTTGCAGCCCCCTTCCTCCATTCTCAAAACCTGCAGTGATGGGCTGAGTCTTCCCACCCTCATCCCTCTGACTCCCCCTTCTGCCTTTCCTTCCACTTTTCAGGACCCTTGTGACTACTCATCTGGATAACCCAAGATAATCTTCCTGTTTTAAAGTCAGCTAATTAGCAACCTCAATTCTACCTGCAACCGAATTCCCCTTCGCTATGTAAGATAACACATCACAGAGATTAGGATGTGGACATCTTTAGGATGCCACTATTCTGCTCACCCCAGGGTGGTAAACATCACAGAGGAAAACAAAGCAGGGACAGGAGAGAGTGCTGGGGGCAGGGGAGGCTGGAGAGGTGCCTCAGGGATACCGGGACAGTTGAGTGAAGACATGAAATTGGTGTGGGGGAGAGTCATGAAGCCATCTGAAGAAAGAGTATTCCAGGCAGAGGGAACAGAGAGTGCAAAGGCTCTGAGGCAGAAGTATGCCCGCTGTGCTTAAGGACCAGTGAGAAGTTCAGCATGGCTGGAGTGGGGTGGGGGAGAAGGAACACGGTAGAAGCAAGGCCAGAGAGGGGTAGGACTTTCTAGACTTTGGTAAGGACCTTGGCTTTCACTCTGAGTGAGACGGGAAGTCTTTGGAAGATTCTGCACAGAGGAAAGATATACTTATTTTCAAAGGACCCCTTTGCTGCTACGTTGAGAGTTCACTGTTGGGGGGTAGGATGCAGGCAAGAAGACGAGTTAGGAGGCTTCTTTCGCAGCCCAGGTGAGACATGGTGGCAGCCGGAAGTGAAAGAAAGGAGTCAGATTTCGGGCAAGTACTGAGTGTCCTTGATGAAGGTAGACCAGAAGGATTTATTGACAGATTGGACATGGGAGGGGAGAGAAAGAGAGGGATTTGGGCTTGAGTAATTTAGAAGCAGGATGCTGCTTTTAAATTACTCAAGCCCAAATCCCTCTCTTTCAGAAAGCTGTTGGACGTCTTCTCTCTTCTCCAGCAATGAGCACTCTTGGCCCAGGGTAATAATCTGTCTCCAGAAGCTCCATTCAGTGTACAACTTATTTTATACACAGATGTATGGTCTTTCCACATCACAACTGCTGCTTCATCTCTCCTCTTCCTCATGCCCTCCCAATACAGACCACACACCCGCAGATACACAGATGTCTGTTCATGCAACACAATATTTATTGAGTGCCTACTATAATGGGTATGTTAGGTATTTTTCTAGGACTGAGAATAGAATGGTGAATAGAAGAGTCAAATATCTCTGCTAGAGGGGAGTTTGTATGCCTGACACAGGGAAGACTGTGGGTGAAGCAAGCTGGGGAGAAGTGTGAACAGGAGTTGAGTTTTAGAGACATTTGAGATATGTGATGTATCCAAGAAAGCAGTTGAACACATGATTCTGGAGCTTAAGACAGGAGTTAGAAGGGCGATAACGATGTGAGGATCCTTAGCAAATAGTTGGCACTTAAAAATCATGAAACTAGATCTGACCACCAAGAGATGAGTGGACATACAGAAAATAGAGAATAGGTTCAGGAACTCAGTCCTGGGTGCTCCAACATTGAGGGTAGGGAGTGAGTGCGAATGAGGAAGGACAAGCTAGGAAGACTAAGAAGGAGTGGCCAGAAAGGCACAAGAAAAACCAGAAGTCTACGGTGTATTGAAAGCCAAGTGGGACCGGACATAATAGCTCATGCTTGTAATCCCAGCTCCTTTGGAGGCTGAGGAAGGAAAATCGCTTGAAGTCAGGAATTCAAGACCAGCCTGGAGGCCGGGCACAGTGGCTCACGCCTATAATCCTAGCAATTTGGGAGGTGTAGGTGAGAGGATTGCCTGAGCCCAGGGGTTCAAGACCAGCCTGGGCAACTTGGCAAGACCTTGTCTCTACAATAAATAAAAAAAAATAGCCAGGCGCAATGGCTTACGTGTGTAAACCCAGCACTTTGGAAGGCGGAAGTGAGAGACTTGCCTGGACCCAGGGGTTCAAGACCAGGCTGGGCAACTTAGTGAGACCTTGTCTCTACAATAAATAAAAAATCTAGCTGGGCGTGGTGGCATGCACCTGTAATTCCAGCTACTTGAAAGGCTGAGATGGAAGGACCACCTGAGCCCAGCAGGTCAAGGCTGCAATAACTGTGATCATACCACTACACTCCAGTCTGGGCGAGAGTGAGACTTAGACTTAAAAAAAAAAAAAAGACCAGCCTGGACAACATAGTGAGTCCCTGTCTCTAAAAAATTTTTTTAAAAATTAGCCAGGCATGGAGGCACATGCCTATAGTCCTATCTAATTTGGAGGTTGAGGCAGGAGGATCACCAAGCCAAGGAGTTTGAAGCTGCAGTGAGCTATGATCACACCACCACTGCACTCCAGCCTGGGTGATAGAACAAGACCTTGTCTTTAAAACAAACAAACAAACAAATAAACAAACCACAAAACCAAGCGAAAAGGATTTTTCAGGGAGGAAGGAGTCAAATGGCGCTGAAAGGTCAAGAAAGTGAAGAATGAGAATTGACCACTGGATTTAGCAACATGGAGGTCCACATGACCTTGACAAGAGAGGTTTCAGGGGAAGTAGTGGTGGTAAAAGCCTTACTTAAGTGGGTTCAAGAGACAGGAGTCAGACTGATCATGGTGGCTCACGCCTAAAATCCCAACACTTTGGGAAGCAGAGGTAAGAGGGTCGCCTGAGTTCAGGAGTTCGAGACCAGTGTAGGCAACTTAGTAAGACCTCATGTCTACAAAAAATCAGAAAATTAGCTGGATGTGGTGGCATATGTCTGCCCTCCCAGCTACTCAGGAGGCTGAGGCAGAAGTATCACCTGAGCCCAGGAAGTGTAGGCTACGGTGACCTGTGATCCTTGCCACTGCACTCCAATCTGGGTGACAGAGTGAGACTGATTTAAGAAAAAAAAAAGAAGCAGAGGCAGTATGTATTGACAATTCTCTTGAAAAGTTTGCTGTCAAGGAGAACAGAGAAGTGGACAGCATCTCTAAGGGGATCCGGGTCAGGAGAAATATTTTTTAAGGTAGAAAGCAATAGCCGGGCTTGATGGCTCAGCCTGTAATCCCAACGCTTTGGAAGGCTGAAGTGAGTGGATTGCCTGAGCCCGCGGGTTCGAGACCCGCCTGGGCAACTTGGTGAGACTTCATCTCTACAATAAAATAAAAAATTAGCAGGGTGTGGTAACGCATGCCTGTAGTTCCAGCTGCTTGGAAGGCTGAGGCAGAAGGATCGCTGGAGCCCAGCAAGTCGAGGCTGCAGTGACCGGGAGTGTGCCACTGCACTCCAGTCTGGGTGACAGAGTGAGACTCCAACTCAAAAAAAGAAAAAGAAAAAGAAAGAGAAAGCAACAACAGCATGTATGTCCTCCTGCTTTATCCTCCCATGTAACTGGAACTACAAGCACACACCACCACGCCCAGCTAATTTTTTATTTTTCTAGAGTTAGGGTCTTGTTATGTTGCCTGGGCTGATCTCTTACTCCTGGCCGCAAGCGATCCTCCCACCTCAGCCTCCCAAAATGCTGGGACTATAGGTGTGAGCCAATGAGCCTGGCCTATTTGTTTACTTATTGCAAACATTCAGACATCAAACTCACATGCTTCTGTTTTAAAGTGCAGCTGGAAGCTGCCTGTATGACCCTCATTCTTTTAATGCAGCAACAGTATCAGGATTGTCAAGGAATTCTGTAAACACCTCTATTTCTAGTAATTTGTTTTTTTTTAAATGTGTGTGCATTTAAGAAAGAACTTGTACTAACAAAATATAAAACAGCCAGGAAATGACTCAATGCAGTCCTTTTCCTTTATTCTCCACCCCATAGGATGAACTGACCTTGAAACCTTAGCCTTTGTGGCTTTCTATGTAAGGATCATAACATGACATTTGAATTTCCTGCTTGTTGCTGACTCCAGGTTAAACCCATCCCTTATAATTTTTTTTTACAGTCCAATACAATGATTTATTACAAACAAAATGTAAAAATGATTTTTGTACATATGCTTTCAAAGTTCAGGCATGGGATGCAAGTAAGTTTCATAGAAAACGCTGTAGCCAGGTATCAAGTCCTTCCAACACAGGAAACACCCCTTCCCCCTCCTAACCCCCACCCAGGTTTTGCTACAGAATCAACAAATTCACTCCCTCCCTCCCCAAAAACACACACATCAAAACAAGACATTTTGCTAGTATAAAAACAACGGAGGTCCAAGTAATAACAACAAAAAAATAGAGTCCATCAATGACTGGAACACAAAAATGTGTATGTGGGGCGGAACCCATCTTCAGAGGGAGAGACAGGAGAGGTAGCAGGCAAATAGGGGAACATCCCCAAGGGTGGGCAGCCTGTGCAGTGGTTCCCTAGGGGCAAACAGTGGTGGTGGGGGGAGACTTAGGACTGACCCCACTCCAGTTGTCGAAAAGAACTACCCCTACAGCCACTCCCAGGCATTTAAAATACTTTTTAAGAAGGAGCTGCCTGCTTAGCCACCTCAAGGTGCAGACGAGTAAGCTGGGCCTGTGCACCCACCTTCCACTTGGAGGCCTGCGTGGTGGTGGTGAACCCCCAGATCGAGCGCTTCCGATGCTTCGACTTCGTGACCTACTCCAAGGTGGAGAGGGCCGATGCCGCCATGGCCACCTCGCCCCAGGCCGTGGACCGCAACACGGTGGAGCTGAAGCGGGCGGTGTCCCGGGAGGACTCGGCGCGGCCCGGTGCCCACGCCACGGCGAAGAAGCTCTTGGTTGGGGGCCTCAGGGGAGACGTGGCCGAGGGCGATCTGATCGAGCACTTCTTGCAGCTCGGCACCGTAGAAGAGGCCGCGATTAGGCCGGGCACGGTGGCTCACGCCTGTCATCCCAGCACTTTGGGAGGCCGAAGTGAGAAGACAGCCTGAGCCCCCGGTTCGAGACCAGCCTGGGCAACTTGGCAGGACCTCATCTCTGCCGTGGCTGGGAGCGTGCCACTGCCCTCCAGCCTGAGCGACAGAGTGAGAATACAACTCAAAAAATAAAATAAAATAAAATAAAATAAAAGGTCGAGATTATTGCCGACAAGCAGTCCGAGGCCGTGGTGGTCAAGGTCCATCCGATTCAGGGCCATTACGTGGAGGTGAAGAGGTTCGTCTCGAAGGATAGCCACTCCTGGGGGGGGCTCCCAGTCCTCCCGGGGAGCCCATCCCTTATACATTTTATTCACCCCTTAGAACATCATTTACCCTCTTCACTTTTTTTTTTTGAGTCGGAGTCTCACTCTGTCGCCCAGGCTGGAGTACAGTGGCCGCTCCCGGCCACCGCAGCCTCCACCTGCTGGACTCCGGTGATCCTCCTGCCTCAGCCTTCCAAGTAGCTGGAATTACAGGCGTGTGCTACGACGCCCGGCTAATTTTTGATTTATTGTAGCGATGAGGTCTCGCCAAGTTGCCTGGGCAGGTCTTGAACCTGTGGGTTCAGGATATCCACTCGCCTCAGCCTCCCAAAGTGCTGGGATTACAGACTGAGCCACCGACCTCGGCCTGTCCTCTTCACTTTTTAATTCTCAGTCAGAGGCACCAGAGTTTGGGGGGCACTAGACATAAAATCTCTTAACCCAGCCGGATTCGGTGGCTCAGCCTGTAATCCCACGCCTTTGGGAGGCTGAGGTGAGTGGATTGCCTGAGCCCGCGGGTTCGAGACCCATCTGGGCAGGCGAGACCTCATCTCTACAATAAATCAAAAAATCAGCTGGGCATGGTAGCGCATGCCTGTAATTCCGGCTACTCGGAAGGCTGAGGCGGAAGGATCGCCGGAGCCCAGCAGGTCGAGGCTGTGGTGGCCGGAAGCGGCCACTGCAGTCCAGTCTGGGCGACAGAGTGAGACTCCAACTAAAAAAAAAAAAAAAAAAATCTCTTAACCCTTTGCTGGGTGCAGTGGCTCATGTCTGCAATCGTAGCACTTTGGGGGCCGAGGCAGGAGGATCGCCTGAGCCCAGGAGTTCAAGACCAGTCTGGGTAACATAGCAAGACTTTGTCTCCACAGATAAGAAAAGAAAAGAAAGGAAAAAAAAAATCTCTTATCTCAAAGACCTGAGGATGGTAATGGACCAAGGGCTTCAACGGGCCAAATGGCAGGTTTGGTAGGAAAGTTGGCTTTATGGTCACACTCCCACCCAATCCACAGCTGAGCTGCGCCTAGCCACTGCCTATGAGGTGACACTAACCATGGAGTGGCCACCACTAAAGTCAGTTTCTTCATTGTTTTTTTTCAAACTCATAAATTCCCTATGATGGCTGGTGTGGTGGCTCACATCTGTAATCTCAGCACTTTGAGAGGCCGAGGTGAGAGGGCTTCCTAAGCTCAGGAGTTCGAGACCAGCCTGGGCAACATGGCGAGACCTCATCTTTCCAATAAAAATTTAAAAAATTAGCCAGATGTGGCAGTGCATGCCTGTAATTCCAGCTACTTGGGAGGCTGAGATGGAAGGATCTCCTGAGGCCTGGAGGTTGAAGCAGTGGTGAGCTGTGATCATACTACTGCACTCCAGCCTGGGTGACAGAGTGAGATGCCAACTCAGAAAAAAAGCTCACTGGAAAACCAGGCCAAGTTGGGACTCAAAACTAATTTTCCACGGAAGAGACCCTTTGGTGTGTGTAGACGATGCAGGAGACAAAATAAATTGGCTCTTAGCTAACTGAAAAATTTATTGGCATACTACTATTGTTTCCATTCCTTATTCTACAGATACGATAGTGACAATATATCACCATCCTAGAGATTGCACAGGACAGTGCCAAGTCCTGTTTTTTTTTTTTTTTTTTAAATAAGAGGGACGGGCAGATCGGGACTCCCAGGCATCCCGCAGAGTAGGCAGGTCACCTTAGGGGCAACCTTTACCAGCTCAAAAATTCGTCTCACATTAGCAGTGAGGATTCGGGCATCACCCCGAATTGTTATTTTCCTTACTCATAAGTTTAAGGCATGAAGTCCTGGTTTCTGTAACAACTGCTACCTTCTGAATGGGACCTTACGTCCCCTACCTCCTGAAACCCCCACATATTTGCCCCTTCTCCAGTGTTTTCTAGTTTATCAGTGGTTCCACCCCTTTTCTACTTGAGCAAGCTGGGAATCTAGGAATCGTTGACATGTACCCAATCTTCTCCTCCATGTTAAATCAATCTTGAGGATTTATCTAGCCTCCTCCAGACACCCTCTGACTGTCGAGTGCTCTCCAACCACCCTGCTCCTTCTCTGGTCCAAAATACGGCTGGATATAATGGCTTATGCCTATACTCCCAGCACTTTGGGAGACTGAGGCTGGAGGATTGCTTGAGTCTAGGAATTTGAGACTAGCTTGGGCAACATAGCAAGACCTCATTTCTAAAAAAAAAAAAAAAAAAGGTAAGTGTGGTGGCACATGCCTGTAGTCCCAGCTACTTTGGGAGGCTGAGGCAGGAGGATTGCTTGATCTCAGGAGGTTGAGGCTGTGGTGAGCAGTGATTATGACACTGCATTCCAGCCTGGGCCACAGAGTGAAACCCCAACTTAAAAAAACCCAAACCAAACAAAAACCCATCACCTTTTGCTGAACAACTGCTAGTGGATCTTTCTGGGTCACTCCCTCCTAACCCATTCTCCACCTGGCTGGAATGAATCATCAATGCATCTCTGCTAAAATCTCCTCAACAGGCCGGGCTTGGTGGCTCAGCCTGTAATCCCAGCGTTTTGGGAGGCCGAGGCAAGTGGATTGCCTGAGCCCGCAGGTTCGCGACCCGTCTGGGCAACTTGGCGAGACCTTGTCTCTACAATAAATCAAAAATTAGCAGGGCATGGTAGCGTGCACCTATAGTTCCGGCTACTTGGAAGACTGAGGTGGATGGATCACTGGAGCCCAGCAGGGAGAGGCTGCAGTGGCCGGGAATGTGCCACTGCACTCCAGTCTGGGCGACCGAGTGAGACACCAACTCAAAAAAAAAAAAAGTCTCTTCAACACATTCTAAGCATAATCCCATTGTACTTAGAATGAAGTCCCAAATTCCCAGATCTTGAACTTGCTCTATGAGGCCCTAGACATTCAGATCCCTCCCTGTACTTCTAACCTCATCATAAATCACTGTTTGTCATTTCCACAACCTTCATTTGATTTTGCCCACTGCAGGTACTAACCTGGAAGGTTCTTTCTGTCTATAGACCACTCTGCATACCCCACACAACTAGTAGGTGCTGTTCAACTTTCAAGTCTCAGTATAAAAGTAGCAGGAAGAGCCGGACTCGGTGGCTCAGCCTGTAATCCCGCGCCTTGGGAGGCAGAGGTGAGTGGATTGCCTGAGCCCACGGGTTTGAGACCCCCCTGGGCAACTTGGTGAGACCTCATCTTTACAATAAATCAAAAATTAGCCGGATGTGTAATTCTGGCTAATCAGAAGACTGAGGCGGAAGGATCGCCAGAGCCCAGCAAGTCGGGGTTGCGGTGGCCGGGAACGGCCACTGCACTCCAGTCTGGGCGACAGAGTGAGACTCCAACTCAAAAAAAGAAAAAAAACAGTAGCAGGAAGGAGGGGTGTGGTGACTGCTTACGCCTGTAATCCCAGCACTTTGGGAGCCTGAGGAGAGAGGATTGCCTGAGCCCAGGAGTTTGAGGCCAGCCTTGGCAACTTGGCAAGATCTCATCTCTACAATAAATCAAAAAAATTAGCCAGGTGTGGTGGCGCACGTCTGTGGTTTCAGCCTGGGTGATAGAGTGAGACTTCGACTCAACAACAAAAAAGAAGTAGCAGGGAAATGTCTATGATTCACAAAGATTAGGTCACCCCATTATCCATCGTTTTAGCTCCTTGCTCTTCCTCTGGGTACCCTTCATCTTACTTGGAGTTACTTTTTCACATTTGTCTGCCCCACTTGATTATGAGAATTTATTTATTTATCATTATATTTTTAATTAGGAGGCTGTGCTGGATATGGTGGCTCACACCTGTAATCCCAGCACTTTGAGAGGTGGAAGCGAGAGGATTGCCTGAGTCCAGGGATTCAAGATCAACCTGGGCAACTTGGCAAAACCTCATCTCTACAATAAATAAAAAAATTAGCCAGGTGTGGTGGCGCTCACCTGTGGTTCCAGCTACTTGGAAGTCTGAGGTGGAAGGATCACCTGAACCCAGCAGGTCAGGCTGTGGTGGCCGTGAGTGTGCCACTGCACTCCAGCCTGGGTGACAGTGAGATTTTGACTCAAAAAAAAAAAAAAAAAAAAAAAAAATAGGCAGCTGTTTTCCATAGAGTTCATGTTTACTGCTGGATCTCTAGTGTCTGGTCCAAGGCCTGAGAACATTGAGAGTATTTGTTAAAGAAATAAATACATGTTTTCTGTGTTAAAAAAAATTCTCAAATTATAAACAAAAAGAAATGAAACCAATACAAAACAAGGACCAGTGATCTTTTCTCCCTAGACATGAGTTGGCTGGATAACTGGGTAATTTGTACTTTGACATTCTTTTTTCTAGATTCTATATGAACTGTCCTCTGTCTCTGCCCTCATCATGACACCGTCCATGTATGTCCATTCTTCCTTTGAACATGCGTATTCACAACAGGCTGAAGATAATTTTTGTACTCTACATTCTGCATGGGTTCCTTCTTGAGTAAAGAGCATTTTGTCATAAGTGAGCTTTCTCCAAAGTAGACCAGGTATGCAACTTCTGGGGGGATTTTGTGCAGAAACTGATAATCGGTTCTGGTTTGAGTCTTTCACAGAACTCTTGCCCCTATGTTGGGGGCTCATTTTGCTTTTGTTTCAGCAACCACAAATACACTAACATGCTCATCCCCCATAAACCCAGGGTTCCTGGCCTGTTGCAGGCTTCCCTCACGTTATTCATACCCCTCCCTTTTCCACTGGTCTCGGTGGGCCCAGTGTCTAGAGACAAGATACTTTTAGAGACCTCCAAAAACAGGTCTTACTTTTGTTTTGAATTTAAAAAAGAACACACACACACACACACACATCTTTATGATGGGCATGGTGTTTCAGGCCTGTAATCCCAGCACTTTGTGAGGCTAAGGTGGAAGGATCATTTGGGGCAGGAGCTCGAGACCAGCCTGGGCAGCATAGCAAGACCCCATCTCTAAACAGATAAATAAATAAATAAAAATTTTTAAAAAGAAAAAAAAATCTTTGTCTTTATACTAATGCTATTGTAAAATGAACTGGGTTTTTTTGTTTGTTTGTTCAGGGTTGTATGTGTGTGTGTAGAGGAAGAAGCATTTGAAGGCAAAAGTGCTTAGAACCCATGAAAACCTTTCAGAATCAGGTGGGGTCAGTCACTTAGACCTTTCCTTCTGGAGCCAGTATATTGTGTAAGGCATGCTTTTTCTCCCCCTCATCATTTGGAGTGTTTATTCAGAGTTTCTCTTTAACCTTCCTCATTGTTCTGAAAGTACAGGATATGACACGGCTCAGTTACTAGAATGGATCTCTATTATTTCCTTGCCCAGAGTATAAATATCCAAACTGCTCCAAACCTGGAAGGAATAGTCCAAAGCAGATGATGTTCTCAGCTGATCCACACTTTCTTCTTTGGACCCACTCGTGGTCATCTTGCTGCTCTGACAGGTATCCTGCGACCAGGATGGGCACTGGTTGAAGGCCCACAGCTCGCAGGAGGCCCTGGACCCAGGAACAAAGCAATGTTGATGCGGCACGCCACGAACTCTTCATGGCCCTTGATACCTTGGGGACCGTGGCACCAAAGGATGTCTTAAAAATAGCCTGTGTCTGAGTTATCCAAGAACAAATAGAAAAGACTTTTGCTTGGCTCAAATCAACAGGGTCTCATAACTGTAGCTGAAAGGTTTACATCATTTTCTTTTTTAAAGCAGCAGTCAACCTCCAGAAAAGTGTGATTTTTTTTTTTTTAATCAGAGTCTCACTCTGTCACCCAGGCTGGAGTGCAGTGGTATGATCACAGCTGACCGCAGCCTTGACCTCCTGGACTTGGGCGATCCTTCTGCCTCAGCCTCCCAAGTATCTGGAACTACAGGCATGCACCACCACACTTGGCTAAATTTTTAAATTTATCGTAGAGTTGAGGTCTCACCAAGTTGCCCAGGCTGTCCTCAAACCCGTGGGCTCAGGCAATTCTCTCACCGAGGCCTCCCAAAGTGCTGGGATTACAGGCGTGAGCCACTGCGACCGGCCAGATCACTGATTTATTATCCATCTTCTCTCCACGGGTGCAGGGGTCTCACTAGGCATCTACTCTAGCCTTAGCATATGGTAGGCTCTCAACACTGTTGAATTAATGAAGGAAATAATAAATGGTATTATGATATCAATTAGTTGAAGACTCTATGGCTAGAAAAGCAGGTAGCATAACGGGCGACACGGGCGGTGGCGCTGGTCTTCAGTCCCTTTTGCACGCGGCTCAATTCCGCAAGCCCTCACGCTTAGATCTATCCACAGCTTTTCGCTGCCTTTCCGCGAAGCCCCATCTGCCGGGCCGGCTGGTGCAAACCCCAGTAAGACCGCAGGGAGGCGCCAGAACACACCGTCGGGGGACAATGAGGACTACGTTTCCCAGCATCCCGCGCGCCGGCACCCACTTCCGAAGCCTTGGGCAAGATGGCTGCGCCCGAGGAGCACGGTTCTGCGACCGAAGGGCCCCAGCCGGCCGCGGAGGAGGAGGACACTAAGACGTTTAAAGACCTGGTGAGGATGGGTGACGCTGTTTGTACTTCGGCGCTAGGCTCAGGCAGGGTTCGGCTACCTTGGATCCTGGTCCGTAGCGTACACAAGCATTTTGGGGCCTCGCTGAGGCCTTCCCCAGGATTTCAGACGGCCGGGTTCCGGACGTGCTCTGCGTTTCGGGGGGCGAAGGGCTGCTTGGCCCTGACAGCCCCCATTTGTCCTATTCTCCGCTTCAGTTTAACCACGTTCATATGAGTCCGGGAGTTTCTACGTGGGGCGAATCCGTCTTTTTAAAGCCGGAGCTTTAGAGTCGGATGAACCAACCAGGTTTGAATTCCGACCCGGTCACTTGTGGCCGCTGTGCTTCTCTTTCTACATCTGTAAAGTGGGTGCATTAGTAAGTACTTACCTCGCAGATTGTTGTGACGAGTAAATGTGATGATACATGTAAAGCCCTTGGTCTTGTCCCTGGTGAGTAGAAAGTGTTCGTGAGGTCCTGAGCCACTGTCTCGTACTCAGAGGAGACTCGGAAGTGCGCGATTAATACCTTTTAAATCAAGTGTAAGGGTGGTGCGTGTAACCAGCAGGATGGCTCTGACAAAGTCATTTAAGTAGGACGGAGGTGGAGGTGTGTTGTTCTTTGCTAAGGTCTATTTTTTTGCATTCCAAGGGTGTGACGGATGTATTGTGTGAAGCTTGTGACCAGTTGGGATGGGCAAAACCCACCAAGATCCAAGTTGAAGCTATTCCTTTGGCCTTACAAGGTAGGTTGAAATTAAATATGTGACCTGGTACAGGTGAATATGAAGTTATACTTAATTAGTACTTTTTGAGAACTTCTGAGAGTTAATTTGCTGGCACACTTTTGAGAGCGGAGGCTTGCATACTTCGAGTGTAATAAAGATATGGTCACTAAAGATACAACATCCAGGCTCATTGGCTTTTGAAAAAGTCAGTCATTCTGCAGTTTACTGAGCTTATTTTCTGTCTTAATAACTGAAGGGGTTTGTTCTCTGGAGGGGTTGGTTGCTGACTTTAAGGAAGCACTGTATTAAAGTGTACTAAAGTGTACTAATGAGAAACCTGTTAGATGTTATGGATCAGCAGTGCACACCTACACGTGAGGATGCTTGGAACATACATGTATGTCTAGAGGAGTTGAGGACTCTTGCTGTGAGGCATGCTCATAATAATATTTGCAGAAGAATGACTAAAGTGTTGGTGATGACTAGTGAGACTGAAACTAATAGGATGAGATTTCATTGGAGTAGAAGTAAAGTGCTGATCTTAAGATTCCTTAAGTACAAGCTTTATAGGATTGGGGTGGATGGTAAAAGAGACCCAAGAGTGTTTGTTCACAAAATTCATTAAGATCCTTAGAGAAAGTGAATGTAATCTTAGCTACACGACTGGAAAAGGAGGTGAACGTTTTCGGGGTCCCTTATCCCTTTGAGAATCAAACAAAAAGGTGCTTTCCCCATAAAAAATGCACAGATATGTCTTCACATAAAATTTCACATATAATTTCAGAGTTCAAGACTGCCTTTTCTCCTCACCCTGGATTCCACTCTCACAGGTTTCGGGTTAAGAACTCCTGAACCAGCTCTAGAGAGAGAATAGTGCTTTGCACTGGTTAGAATACTGTATTGCCTATGTCTGGGTACCACAGTTTTCACTGACCAACTGAGGGGTAATGAGTGGGGTACAGTATGGAAAGTAGTTACAGATAGTTAAAGGAACTGAGTGCAGTTGTTCTGGAGATGAGACGAGTGAGGGGGTAAGATATGATAATTTTTGGCTTTAATTATCTGAAGAGCTGTCATGTGGGAAAGAGATTAGACTTATTCTTCATAATTCCATTTGTTCCTTCCATAAATAGTTACTGAGTATTTGATGTAAATGTAAGCCACTGAGGGTAGATCTACGTGTGTCTTCTCCAAGAGCTTACAGTCTAATAAGGAGATAATTATATGTTTATTACAAGGTGACATATGAAAGTTACATTTAGGGTATTCTGAGAGAGTAGACACGATTACTTCTAATTGATTAGAGAAGACTTACTTCATTTTAGTTTTTGGCTAGGGAGGTTGGGAAGACACTTGAGCTGAACCTTGAAGACCGAATTGAAAAGGATTTAAGACTGGGCATGGTGGCTTACGCCTATAATTCCAACACTTTGGGAGGCAGAGATGAGAGGATTGCCTGAGCCCATGGGTTCAAGACCAGCCTGGGCAACTTGGCGAGACCTTGTCTCTACAATAAATAAAAAAATTAGCTGGGTGTGGGGGTGCACACCTGTAATTCCGGCTACTTTGGAAGACTGAGGCGGAAGGATCACCTGAGCCCAGCAGGTCGAGGCTGCAGTGGCCAGGAGCGTGCCACTGCACTCCAGCCTGGGTGACAGAGTGAGACTCTAACTCAAAAAAAAAGAAAAGGATTAAGTCATTTTGATATGATGGGAGGGAAGGACTTTTTAGGCATAGGGAATAACATGAAAAAAAATCCAAAAAGGCTGGAAAACATGGCATGTATAGAGATCTGCAAGTACTTAACAGAGCAGTGAAAAGTTTAATTAAGGTGCTTGGGGCCAGATTTTGAAAGACTGGAATGCTGGTAAAGGAATTTGGCCTTTGTTCCATAGTCGTGGAGCATCTTTGGGGATTTTTTTTGGCAGGAAAACTTCAGAGTTGTACTCGTGGGAGATTAATCTCATAGCTGTATAAGATCATTCAGAGACAAGAGACTAGAGACTGGGAAACCAATTAGGAGGTCATTGCAATAATTTTGGCAATAAATAATGGGTAGGGTAGTGGTAGTGAGAATGAAAAAGGAAGAAAATAATAGAAAAAGAATCATCATGATTTTACAACCAGCTAGGCAAAGGGTGGGGAAAGCTAAGATTATTGTCAAGTTTCTAGGCTGTATATTTAGGACTTATTATTGGTGCACCACTGATATAAAAAGGGAAGACAGGAAAAAAAAGAATTTCAGGGAAGATGAGTTGTTGACTTCAGATGTCAATGAGATAGAATTGACTAATACACAGTTGGATGAGGGGGAAGTGGAGATGCTTTTCAACGAGTACCAAGTTTCAGTTAGGATGAATAAATTCTGAAGATCTATTGTACACTATGGTGACTATAGTTAATAGTAATGTTTTACCCGGGGGCAGTGGCACATGCCTGTAATCCCCAAACTTTGGGAGGTGGAGGTGAGAGGATTGCCTGAGCCCACGGGTTTGAGACCAGCCTGGGCAACATGGCGAGACCTCATCTCTACAGTAAATCAAAAAATTAGCCAGACGTGGTGGTGCACGCCTGTCGTTCCAGCTACTTGGAAGGCTGAAGCAGAAGGATCACCTGAGCCCAGCAGATCGGGGATGTGGTGGCCATGAGCGTGCCACTGCACTTCAGCCTGGGCAGCAGAGTGAGACTCCAACTCAAAAAAAAAAAATTGATGTTTTATATATTTGAAAATGACTAAGAAAGTAGATTTAAATGTTCTTACCACAAAAATGGTAAGTGTGCGAGATGATGGATATGCTAGTTGGCTTGATTTAATCATTTCACGATGTAAACAAATGAAAAATCACATTGTATACCATAAGCATATATAGTTTTTTATTTGTCAGTTATACTTTAGTAAAGCTGGGGCAGGGCCCGGGCACGGTGGCTTATGTCTATAATCCCAGCACTTCAGGAGGCTGAGATGAGAGGATTGCCCGAGCCCACAGGTTCGAGACCAACCTGGGCAACTTGGTGAGACCTCATCTCTACAATAAATCAAGAACATTTAGCTGAGCCTAGTGGTGCGTGCCTGTAGTTCCAACTATATGGAAGGCTGAGGTGGAAGGATTGCCTGAGCCCAGCAGATTGAGACTGTGGTGGCCGTGAACCGGCCACTGCACTTAGCCTGCGCAACAGAGTGAGACTCTGACTCAAAAAACCCCCCAAAATCAGTAAAGCTGGGGAAGAATAACATGAAATAGGAAAAAAACAACACAGTTGGACTCCAGGGATTAGAACTTGATTGAGAAGCCGGAATTGGATATAGACACCATATCCAAAGAGGTTATGACTGAAATTCAAAGTCAAGATTGCCAGATGAGGCCAAGAGACAGATAGAACTGGAAGGTTCAGAAGAGATCGGAAATCATGAGAGTATAGTTTCACACTAATTAGGGAAGGGTGAGTGTTTCAAGTAGGGGATGATAAACATTTCTGACTTGTGTAGAGAAGTTCAGAAAATGAGGACCACATAACAGCCAGTGGTAGGAAAGAAATATCAGCAGTCAGCAGTCCTCCAGTTGCTTTCAAATAGCAAGAAGGATTGGTGCATTTTGGCCTTTTCCAGCTTGCCCTACAGCATAGGTGGGAAAAAGGAGTCAAATTTAGGTGGTAATAATTCTAAAATTCTATTTTGCTATTTTCAGTCAAAAGTTTCAATTTGATGCAGGGAACAATAAGGGTCAATGGGACATTAGTAGGAACTGGGTAACTATTGAGATGATCACATTGAAAATGTTATCCTTATTCTTGGGCTTATCTCATTCCAATGAGTGCTTTACAAATGCTTCATTTGAATCTGTAGATTCTGACTCTAAGCAGACAATTCAAATAATCTATTTTTGTTGCTATGGTTATTCTATTAAGTTAACTTCTTAATTTTAATTTGGGACTGATAATGGTCTTGGTATCTGCAAAGTTACTGAACCCTGTGTTTATTGTTTTTTAAGCCTTATGTCAGTCTAGAAAAGTAGAGATGATTATTTTATTGGTAAGGAAATTGAGGCTCAGCCTCAATTCAAATTCAGCCTATGGCTGGAATCAGAATTGATTATTGCTATAGCTAGCAATAATTGAACATCAACTCTACAAGAGTTAAAAAAAAAAACCTGTGTTCAGTCGGGTATGGTGGCTCATGTCTGTAATCCCAGCACTTTGGGAGGCAGAGGCAAGAGGATTGCCCGAGCACAGGGATTCAAGACCAGCCTGGGCAACTTGGCAAGACCTCGTCTCTACAATAAATAAAAAAGTTAGCTGGGCCATATGGCGCACACCTTAGTTCCAGCTACTTGGAAGGCTGAGGTGGAAGGATTCCCTGAACCCAGAAGGTTGAGGCTGCGGTGGCCATGAATGCGCCACTGCACTCCAGCCTGGGCGACAGAGTGAGACTCCAACTCAAAAAACAAAACAAAACAGAAACACCTGTGTTCATGGCCCCTTATTAAAGTGTCTTACTATTGAGAGATCAAAAATCATTTGATGGTTTTTGAGGATGATTTCCTTCTTGTGTTTCATGTATTATGTTTATTTCCATTTCAGAGATCACCTAGAGTCATTTTCTAGGAATTTCTGACAGTTGATTAAGGGTTGGTTGCCCTATACCAGCACTTATGTTTTCTTTTTGTTGTTATGTGTTTTTTGGAGCCTCAGCCTGGAATTATAGGTGTGAGCCACTACACCCGATACCTTTTGTTACTTTGTGTCACTTGTTCCTGTCTTCCTGCCTTGTCTCAGTTCAGGTTACTAACATATCTTCCCTGAATTACATTTAGTATCCTAGTTGAGCTCTTGTTTTCCCCTCTTTGGTTATTTGCGTAATTTTAGATTGTAAGTCATTTCAGGTTATGTTAGGGAAAAGGGTGTTATTTCTTGTAGGATTATCTTTTAGGTAAGGAAGGCTTCTCAGTGCACAATCATAGAACAGCAGAGCAGCAACTGTGGGGGTCATTATAGGCTCACTGGGCATGTTCTAACACATAGCTACCTCATGGGTTGTAGCCAGCCTAGAGATGGCGGTCTTTGCTCAGGAGTTAGTTTCTAAGTCTTGTAAGCTGTGACTTGAGAGATGATAACAAACGCTAGTGACCAGTTCTTAAGAAGGTACTTACAGCATTTTTCTCTGAAAATAGCAGTTTAAATGGCATGCACTGTTATGTTTCTTGGTCCCTCCTAATGCTGTCAGGCCCAGAGTCCATCTTCCTAAAGAGCAATATTGATCATGACATTCCCTGCTGGCAGTCTTTAGTTCCTCTCTCTTATAGGAAAGCATCACAGCTCCTTAGCATGTCTCATGAATTTCCTTTCTAGCTCATTCTTCTCCCTTTCTCCCTTAACATTTGTGTGTTCTGGGCACCTTCTCACTCTACCTGCATATGCCATGTTCCTCAAAGCCTTCATTTTCTCTCCTCATACAGGAATATACTTCCTCCTCTTATTTGCTTGCTTCTAGATTTAACTTATCACCTCTGGGGCCTTCTCTGGCTTTTCTGGGCAGTAGATACTTCTTTCTTTGTGTTCTCACTGCGTTTTGTAGGGACTTATATTAAAGTCCTTATCACATTATAATATATGTGTATTTGTCTGTCTCACCACTGGACTTTGTGCTTACCCTAGGGGAAAGATCATGTCTTTTCTGTTTATTCAACCTTCCTTTCTCCCCATTTCATCAGACTATTTATTCAGTGTCTATTTTGTGCCCAGCATTGTGCCATTGTAGAAAACATGTAAATAATGAGGAGAGAATTTCTTTGGTATTAAGTGTTTTCTTTTTCTTCTAGGCCATGATATCATTGGACTGGCAGAAACTGGTTCGGGAAAAACAGGGGCCTTTGCTTTGCCCATTCTGAATGCACTGCTGGAGACGCCCCAGCGTTTGTTTGCTCTAGTTCTCACCCCCACTCGAGAGTTGGCCTTTCAGATCTCAGAGCAGTTTGAAGCCTTGGGGTCCTCCATTGGTGTACAATGTGGTAAGTGTCTGAGCGGGAAGGAATCCTAGGGTGTTATCACAAGTTGTGAGTGAGTGTGAAGGGAGAATAGAAGAGAGTATTATATTGACCTAAAGAGTTAATATTGCATTTTAGCTTTGGGGAAAGTATTATGTGTAAGGATAGAACAAATCTAAGTTGAAATCTAGCACTGGTTTTTAAAACTGTTCAGTGGAAAAAATTAAGGATCTCATGTTTATCTTCTTTTTATTTCTATAGCTGTGATTGTAGGTGGAATTGATTCAATGTCTCAATCTCTGGCCCTGGCAAAAAAACCACATATAGTAATAGGTGAGTAATTGACAAAGGTAAAATGACGAAGTAGGGGAAATCTACCAACATTAGATGGAAGGACTTTGAGAAACAGATTTTTGTAATCTTATTTGATTTTTTGATAATTTATTATTATTTTTTTGAGTCATAGTCTCACTCTGTTGCCCAGGCTGGAGTGCAGTGGCACGCTCAAGACCATCGCAGCCTTGACCTGCGGGGCTCAGGCAATCCTTCCGCCTCAGCCTTCCAAGTAGCTGGAACAATAGGCATGCACTCCATGCCCAACTAAATTTTTGATTTATTGTAGAGATGAGGTCTCCCCAAGTTGCCCGGACTGGTCTCAAACCTGTGGGCTCAGCAATCCTCTCACCTAGGCCTCCCAAAGTGCTGGGATTATAGGCATGAGCCACTATGCCAGGCCCTGTTTGATTTTTTGATTTCTTAAATTTGGTGGGGGTTGAGGGGCAGATAACTTTATTTCTTGCTCTTTGTCTTGTTCTGAAATATTGCCCTTTCTGTTCTACCTTCCTTGGTAGCAACTCCTGGTCGACTGATTGACCACTTGGAAAATACAAAAGGTTTCAACTTAAGAGCTCTCAAATACTTGGTCATGGATGAAGCAGACCGGATATTGAATATGGATTTTGAGACAGAGGTGAGCTCTCCGTTTCTTTATTCCCCTTAGAGCATCTCAAGGGCTCTGCTTCAAAATGTGCTTCATGGCCCACTTGTTTTATGTAGAACATTGCATTAGTGTTAGTTAATCTCAGCATCCCTGCTGCCTTTTTTCATTCTTGGTGCTCTTCACATTGCAGTTAGAATTCTGGGTGGCTCACTCCTATGGTCCCAGTACTTTGGCAGGCGATCACTTGAGGCCAGGAGTCTGAGACTAGCCTAGGCAACATGGTGAGACCTCTTCTCTATCAAAAAAAAAAAAAAGAATATAGTCTGACTGATGTCGTGCATGAGACATATCAAAACCAGATTTTCTTTTCTATTTTATTTGATTTAGATCTTGACCTTGCACCTTGAAATAGCTCTATCTTCTTTGATGACTGAGTCATCCTAGTTTACGTAGTTGATTAGTACTTATTCTTGACCTTTTTCTTAGGTTAACTCTACTAAACTAAGCTGTTCTTTTCTCAGAATTTTTTTAAAATAGCATCTGGCATGGTATTAGATGATAAATATTCAGAAATTTTAGCAGCATTGAATTGAATTGAGTTTCAAATCCTCACAGTGATGTATTTAGTTTGTTAGTTTCTACCTCTTTCGGGTGTCCAAGACTAGATGTTATATTTGTATCCTTTCCTCTTTGTGCTGTAGGTTGACAAGATCCTCAAAGTGATTCCCCGAGATCGGAAAACATTCCTCTTCTCTGCTACCATGACCAAGAAGGTGAAATTTGCTATGGCTTTCATTTTCTTCCTTATTAGAATTGTTACATCAAATTAATAATAACAGCAGCAACAAGTAAAAAGAAATAAAGTTCATTTAGGTATCAGTGTGCTAATCTGTATTTTCTTTCTTCAGGTGCAAAAACTTCAGCGAGCAGCTCTGAAGAATCCTGTGAAATGTGCTGTTTCCTCTAAATACCAGACAGTTGAGAAATTGCAGCAATATTATGTTTTTATTCCCTCTAAATTCAAGGTAAAGTGTTTACTTTGATAATTCCTGCCTCTTTCCTTCTACCAAAGCATCTGAAAATGTGTCAACTCTTGATTAGCTAATAGTTGTGATAGGTTGAGGTCCTGCCTGTTTGCTTTAGAGTGCGTATTGTGCTTATATTTGTCACTGATAAGTCAGACATGCCAGGAATTCACACCACATTAAACCACAGTAATGAAGTCATGATGTAATCATAGAATTCCTTTCCATGCCCATCCTTGAAGCAGTTTTTCCTTTGTCTGCTTATTATGTAGCTTTTCTTTAGGACGGAAGTCCTGGTTTTTTGTTTTGATATAAGGACTTTTCCTGTTTGCTGAATACTGTTTCCTGTGCTTGACTTCAGCTTTTATGGGGAAACAGGTTCACAGAGGTAACAGTGCTGGTTAAGAAGTACAAAGCTCACTCGTTCAGCCAGTGGGCAACTTGGTGAGACTCATCTTCAATAAATTTTTAATAACCGGGCTTGGTGGCTCAGCCTGTAATCCCAGCGCCTTGGGAGGCTGAGGTGAGTGGATTGCCTGAGCCCACGAGTTCGAGACCCGCCTGGGCAACTTGGTGAAACCTCATCTTTACAATAAATCAAAAAATTAGCTGGGTGTGGTAGCATGCACCTGTAATTCCAGCTACTTGGAAGGCTGAGGCGGAAGGATCGCCGGAGTCCCAGCAGGTCGAGGCTGCAGTGGCCGGGAGTGGCCAGTGCACTCCAGTCTGGGTGACAGAGTGAGACTCCAACTCAAAAAAAAAAGAAGTACAAAGCTATGGCCGGGCATGGTGGCTCATGCCTATAATCCCAGCACTTTGGGAGGTGGAGGCGAGAGGATTGCCTTAGCCATGGGTTCAAGACCAACCTGGGTAACATGGCAAGAACTTGTCTCTACAGTAAATCAAAAAATTAGCTGGCCATGGTGGTGCACACCTGTAGTTCCAGCTAGTTGGAAGGCTGAGGCAGAAGGATCGCCTGAGCCCAGCAGGTAGAGGCTGCCGTGGCCGTGAGCAGCGTGCCACTGCACTCCACCCTAGGCAACAGAGTGAGACTCTGACTCAAAGATAAAAAATACAAATTAAAAAAAAAGAAGTGTAAAACTGACAGCCATGGGTCTGGATAATTGGGGAGCAACTTTATTTTTATTTTTATTTTTTTTGAGTTGGAGTCTCACTCTGTCGCCCAGACTGGAATGCAGTGGTTGCTCCCGGCCACCACAGCCTCGACCTGCTGGGTTCCAGCGATCCTCCCGCATCAGCCTTCCAAGTAGCTGGAACTACAGGCGCACGCTACCACACCCGGCTAACTTTTTTGATTTATTGTAGAGATGAGGTCTCACCAAGTTGTCCAGGCGGGTCTAGAACCCGCGGGCTCAGGCAGTTCACTCACCTCAGCTTCCCGAGGTGCGGGATTACAGGCTGAGCCACCGAGCCTGGCTGGGGAACAACTTTAGAGTTGATTGTTCCTTAATGTATGTGCCAGGTCTCCAACCCTTTCTTCCAGGTTCAGTTACATATATTGTCTTGGGTTTGTGATTTAGGATACCTACCTGGTTTATATTCTAAATGAATTGGCTGGAAACTCCTTTATGATATTCTGCAGCACCTGTAACAATACTCAGAGAACAGCTTTGTTACTCCGAAATCTTGGATTCACAGCCATCCCGCTCCATGGGCAAATGAGTCAGGTGAGGACTCTGGCATCACAAACCATGAACTGGTGGCATGAGGAGGATAAACCTGATGACAGTGGATTTGTACAGTAAAGACATAGCATTATTGCTTGCTTCCAGAATTGTTCTGATTTTGCGGGCTTTAAGGTGTTGCTATGGATACTTGCTTTCTCCTTTCAGGACAGTAAGAGGCTCCTGTAGAATACTTCATAGATAGTTGTTGAGTTTGCAAGTGTTGAATTGATTCATTCAGCCTTAGTGGTGACAGTGATTCTAACAGAATAGACCAGATTTTTTTTCCAATTTTCTTTCTATTATCTTAAGCAACCCCTGTTTGTATCACTGTTTTCTAGCCTAAGTCTTAACATATTTTTTGTTGTTTTCATAATTTCTGTTTTGACCTATGAAACCCCATTCTGGAATTGTTGGGGGAAGGGGGACTTTAAAAAAATGTATATATCTTTGTTCTTGTGTTTAGTTTGTCTGTTTTATGTGATTTGCATTCCAAGATTCCTTCATTTTCCAGCATTAAAATTCTTTCTTTTTCATTGTCTCAGAGCAAGCGCCTAGGATCCCTTAATAAGTTCAAGGCAAAGGCTCGTTCCATTCTTCTGGCAACTGACGTTGCCAGCCGAGGGTTAGACATACCTCATGTAGATGTAGTTGTCAACTTTGACATTCCTACCCATTCCAAGGTAAGTCCTGTTGCTAACTTGACTTTCTATTCCCAAAGTGTATTTATTTTATTTTATTTTTTATTGTTTTACTATTTTTTTCAAAGATGGGGGTCTCATTATGGGGTCCTGAACTCCTGGCCTCAAGTGGTCTTCTTTCCTTAGCTTCCCAAAGTGGGATTACAGGCATGCGCCACTGTGCCTGACCCCAAGGCGTATTTCTTTCTTTTTTTTTTTTTTGAGTTGGAGTCTCACTCTGTCACCCAGACTGGAGTGCAGTGGCCGCTCCCGGCCACCGCAGCCTCGACCCACTGGGCTCCGGCGATCCTTCCGCCTCAGCCTTCCAAGGAGCTGGAACTACAGGCACGCGCTACCACGCCCGGCTCATTTTTGATTTATTGTAGAGATGAGGTCTCGCCAAGTTTCCAGGCGGGTCTCGAACTCACGGGCTCAGGCAATCCACTCACCTCAGCCTCCCAAAGCGCGGGATTTTAGGCTGAGCCCCCGAGCCCAGCTCCGAAGTGTATAGCTTAATGGGATGTGTTCTGTCATTCCTTAATTACAATATTGTTTCTTTTGTCCTTGATTAGTCAAGCATCAAAAGTATCAAAGCTCTTGATTGCTCGTTGTCATCGTCTTGCAACGACTGTGTATTTTACACTAATAAATGTGCATGAAGGCAGCCCAGGCCAGGGGAGTTATTAGGTGCTCACAGTCAGAAGGAGCAGGTGCAGCATGTGCTGATCTGTGTCACTTTCATTTCTTGAGAAATGGTAACTAGTGCTTCTTAGTGCATCTCGGGATTCCTCAGCCTTGGCCCTTTTAACATTTTAAGCCGGCACATTCTTTGTCGTGGGAGTTCTCTGTATTGTAGGATGCATAGCAGCATTCTTGGCCTCTACCCACTAGGTGACAGTGTTGCACACTTTTCACTATGATGAGCAGAAATGTTTCCAGACATTATAAGATGCTCCCTTAGGATGACAGACAGCCCCTGGTTGAGAACTGGTATGTCTCTTGGCTTCGTATTGAACCACTGTAGACAAAGCGCTGTCTCTTTTGATTTTCATAATAACTCTGCAGGTTTGGGCATGCATTTCTACCCCTGCTTCATAGATAGAAACCAAGGTTCAGAGAGGTTATGTGCTTTGCAGATAATTGTGTAGTGGCGCGTGGTAAAACTGTAAACCTAGATTTGCAGCAAGTCTTTACATGCATATATAGTTTTTTACTTTAATCCATATAAATTGAGTTTATTTACCTTTTGCTTCAGGATTACATCCATCGAGTAGGTCGAACAGCGAGAGCTGGGCGCTCTGGAAAGTCTATTACTTTTGTCACACAGTGAGTAGACTGACTTTATGGGCAGAGCAGTGTAGAGGAAAGAGCCACTTACTGGGAGCCTAGCTCTACCATATACTAAACGAATCACTTCCTCTCTGTCATCCTGATTTTTGTATTTGTAAAATGGAAATAATAATACTGATCTAGCAGGGTTTGGGTGAAAATCAGAGATCATATAGTAAAGGATGAAGTGTAGAATTTAGCATGTAAAATGGTACCAGTTATTTCTTTCAGCTGGTAGAGCTGGAAAGCAGTGACCTTTTTCTTAGCTCATAAAGCATTAGAATATATATTTCTGATATTTTTTTAAGGAACAAATGTTTATATACCCAAGGCTTTTTTTGTGTGAATGAAGAATATCTTGAGTGATTTTCAGATGAGATTAGCCACGTTTAGGGTGGTATGGCCATGGACCCTTAAGTGATTTTCTGATGAGCCATGCACAGAGATTATACTTAACCAGTATTTAGTAAAAGAATAGTGTGTTCAGTATTAAGAATCATATCATGTAATACATAGTTTGGGAATGGAAAAACATTTGCATTAGCAGGCAACCAAAAGCTATGCCAATTTTCCTTCCTCAGGTATGATGTAGAGCTCTTCCAGCGCATAGAACACTTAATTGGGAAGAAACTGCCTGTGTTCCCAACACAGGATGATGAGGTTATGATGCTGACAGAACGTGTGGCTGAAGCCCAAAGATTTGCCCGAATGGTATGCAACTTTCTCACCAGCATCTAGGCAAATGATAGTAACTGTGTGCTAGACACTTATACCAATCCTCATAATAGATTGCACGAGCTGGGTATTATTTTATTCCAAATTTAAGATGAGAAAATTAAGACAGAGATGATAGGTAGTTTGCTTTAGACCATACAGCTGAGTGGTTGAATCAGGGTTTGCACTCAGTGTAACCAGAGTGACCGCATTCTCAGCTATTCTTCATGTATTACATGTGGCAAGAAAACCAGTGGACTTGAGGTCAGAAGATCCAGCTGTGAACTGTGTGAGCTTGGGCAATTTGCTAATCTCTTAGAATTAGTTCCTCACCTGTAAATTGGGACTACTACTTGCCTTGAATACCTTACAAGGTTTTGAGCACCAGATAAGCCAATATAAACTACCTAGTAGAGGCTGAGCATTCCTAATCTGAAAATCCAAAATCCAAAACTTTTTTAGGACTAATAGATGTCACAAGTGGAAAATTCTACACTTTGACCTCATGTCATGGTTCACAGTCAAGATGCAGTCACAACTTTGTTTTGTGCACAAAATTATTAATAATAGTATATAAAGCTTAATACAGTGGCTTATAGCTGTGCTCCCAGTGCTCTAGGAAGGTGAGGCAGAAGGATTGCTTGAGTCCAGAAGTTTGAGACTAGCCTAGGCAACAAGCCAGACATGGTGGTATGTGCCTGTAGTTCTAGCTACTCAGGAGACTGGGACAGGAGGATTGCTTGCGCCCAGGAATTTGAGGGGTTTTTTTTGAGACAGAGCCTTGCCCTGTTGCCCAGGCTAAAATGCAGTGGTACAAGCAGGGTTCACTATAAGCTTGAACTACTGGGTTCAAGCAGTCCGCCCACCTCAGCCTCTTGAGTACCTAGGACTACAGGTGTGACCACCAGGCCTGGTAAATTTTTGTGGTTTTTTGTGGAAATGGGGTCTTGCTATGTTGTGCAGGCTGGTCTTGAACTCCTGGGTTTGAGTGATCCTCCCATCTTGGCCTCTCAAAGCTCTGGGATTATAGGTGTGAGCCACTGTGCCTGGCTCATTTCTTAATGATTACAAAGAATTTCATCACATATATGTACCTTGATTTACACTGATGGATGTTTATGCTTTTTTCCAATTTTTCTACTTTAGTAGAGAGTTGAGCATCCTAATATGTACAGCTTTGCATACTTATTTTTTTTTTCTTAGAATAAATTCCTAGAAGTAGAATTGTAGACCAAGATGTATATATAGAATTTGAAGTTGTATAAGGCAACCCTCTTGGGTCCCCTCCCACCGTGGGAGCTTTGAGTTCGTATAGAATGCCAAATTGCCCCCTAGAAAAGCTATCGCAGATTATACTGTCAGTGACAGTATATGTGAATTTCCCCACGCTTTGGCCAATACTAGGTAGTACTGTTCTCTTAAACCTTTACCTATCTGTCATGTGTACATAAAAGCTTGATTTTCATGCTTTGCTAATGAATAAGGTTAGCCTCTTTGTATAAGGAGTTGGATCTTACCGCTTTACTAATGTCAGATGTCAGGGGGTTACTCAGTATTTTGTTTTGCTGTTTGTTTGTTTGTTTGTTTTTTGCATTAGAGTCTCATGCTGTTGCCCAGGCTGGAGGGCAGTGACATGATCATGGCTACCACAGCCTTGACTCGCTTGGCTTGGGCGATCCTTCCACCTCAGCCTTAGCTGAAACTACAGATGTGTACCACTATGCCCGACTTTTTTTTTTTTTGGATTTATTATAGAGATGAGGTCTTGCTGTGTTGCCCAGGCTGATCTCAAATTCCTGTGTTCAGGCAGTCCTCCCACAGTGCTGGAATTACAGGTGTGAGTCACTGCGGCTGGCCTCCATGTTTGCTTTTTTTTTTTTTTGAGTTGGAGTCTCACTCTGTCGCCCAGACTGGAGTGCAGTGGCCGCTCCCGGCCACCGCAGCCTCGGCCTGCTGGGCTCCAGTGATCCTTCCGCCTCAGCTTTCCGAGTAGCTGGAATTACAGGCATGTGCTACCACGCCCAGCTGATTTTTTGATTTATTGTAGAGATGAGGTCTCGCTGTCCAGGCGGGTCTCGAACCCGCGGGCTCAGGCAATTCACTCACCTCAGCCTCCCAAAGGCGCGGGATTATAGGCTGAGCCACCGAGCCCGGCTTCATGTTTGCTTTTAAAGAGAGAAGACTACAATGTGTTATCAGTGACAGTAATTCATTTTCAGTCCCATCCTTTCTGTTTTCTTGCAGGAGTTGAGAGAGCATGGGGAAAAGAGGAAACGCTCACGAGAGGATGCTGGGGACAGTGATGATAAAGAGGGTGCTATTGGAGTCAGGAATAAGGTGGCTGGAGGAAAAATGAAGAAACGGAAGGGCCGTTAATCGCTGTTCGAAAGACTTGATCTCTGCTTTCTGTTCTGTAAAAGAGAATTGAAGAAGAGAATGAAACCACCTCCAGCAGAGATCGTCAGACTGAAATCTGGCTGCATTATGCCTAGAATCTGCTCCGCGAACTCAAGTCTTCTGCCTGCTTTCTGTGTGTTGGGGCATCGTTGCTGCAGATTCAGTTTACAGTGGTGATGTCAAGACTGTTCCTGTCCTTCCACTTTGGTTCCTTGCTCGTGAAAGGAGGGGATGTACTCTTCTATCATTTCACACAGACCTTTTGCCTTTTGTAGCTGCAAGTCAAGGACTGGGTCAGTGAAGCCCATGACCCATATGTAATTGTAAAGGAAAGAGGCTCGGACATCTATGATACTTAAGACATCTTGACTTGTGCTTCATTAGAGCTAATGTGAAACAATAAAAGTATTATTTTTAAAGATTCAAAATTTCTGAAGATCTTGGTGTTAAAGGGCTTTATAGATTTAAGTAAGATCTTGCCAACAGGCAAGAACCTGACAGTGGCGATTACATGGCAGGTTCACTGATTGTTCTTAATTTATGATACATGTTGTTTATGACCAAAAAAATCAACAAAGAAACAAGATGATGGATTCTTTTAGGGAAGTCCTGCTTAAAAGGAGGTGGTGTTTTTCTTGGGGGTGGGTCATGGTCCATCATAAGACTGCAGAGGTCTGTCAGATCCCTCTTAGGCTTACTTTCCTGGTCCCCTGAATTAAGAAGGTAGTTAAGAAGACTGATTTCTTACTTAAACTCTGATCTCTAGGCTATGAGGGTAAAATCATTATGAAACAGAATGTAGGGTAATTCTAAGACTTGATTTCATCCACTTGTCATGGGTGCCCATTGACCATGCTCTTCTCTTTTGTCCCCATTTGTTGGGTGGTTGAATTCAGGATATGTAGGCCTCAACTCCTGCAGAAGAGGCAGGCGTTGGCCCTGTAGGACTGAGTGAGCAGGGAAAGGTTGCTGGGAATTAGAAACAGCTTTGAGCTTCCCAGTCTTGAGCAATCCTGTGTTCTGAGAGCTTTTACACATAGAAGAATGCTAATATTTTCAGTTGTCTATAACAATTTAAGTCAGTCATGGTGGCCCACACCTGTAATCCCAGCACGTTGGGAGGCTGAGGCGAGAGGATTGCTTGAACCTAGGAGTTTTGAGACCAGCGTTGACAACATGGCAAGACCTCATCTCTATAATAAATCCAAAAAAAATTAGCCGGGCTTGGTGTCTGTGCCTTGTAGTTCCAGCTAGTTGGAAGGCTGAGGTGGAAGGATTGCCTGAGACCAGCAGGTCGAGGCTCCAGCCTGGGTGACAGTGAAATTCTGATTTAAAGAAAAATTAGAGTGTATCTGGAGTTGTAGATCCAGGGTAAAGAGTCTAAAGAACCACTGCGATGGATTAATATTGGGAATGAAGTTTGGCAAAAAAGAAACTTTCCATACACGTCTTAAAGCGTGTGTCCCAAAGCTTGTATTTCTTAAGTCAGAGTATCTGGGGAGAAGTGAAAAGTGGGTGTGGTGTCTCACACTTATAATCCCAGCACTTTGGGAGGCTGAGATAGGAGGGTTACTTGAGACCAGGAGTTGGAGAAATGAAAAATACAAGGCAGTAATACTGTGGTGGACTTTTTATTGCGGAAAGATCTCTGTAAAGATAAGGGCAGGATGTTTTCTACCACAGATGGATCTCCAAGGGGTGCCTGTGGACAAGGTGTTTATAATGAAATACAGCACATGGCTTACTGTGTTGTGCACTTGCTCTGAATTTCGTTGCTGCTCATGATGGTACATCTGCATGAAGGATAAGTCAGAGGAGTCAGAGACAGGAAAAGGAAGGGAGAAAAGAAACAAATGGTTGCATGGGGCCATGCTTTGTTGAGTTTGTGCCTGCCCCGGGGGGAATTCTCCATTCATGTATTTTCCCGCTAGGGCTTTCCAGGGTGGCTTAGGAGAGCAGCTCTAACTCTGAGCTGGTAGATGGTTGCTGTGTCAACTCAGTGGAGGACTTCAGAAGCAAGCTGAAATTTAATTGGGATACTAGTTGAGGGTAAGGGGGAGAGACTGAAATTATCCTTAAGGATGTCTATGGGCCCCTGAGGTATATGCCTATTTCTGGGGAGACTAAAACGGTTTAGACACTACTGCTCTAAACCTTAACTGTTATCTCTAATGTATATATGCAATTATCTTTTGTTAGGATGGAAAGATAGGAAACTAACAAATGTGGACAGACATGTCTTCAGGCACATTAATAGGTCCAGGGCACTCACTAGAGTCCCAGACAAAAAGCACAGGTGGCATTGGGAGGGCAGCGGGTACAGAAACAGATGCATGTGATGCCTTAGCTAATGAGAGCAAGGCTGTAGATTTGTACTGTTAATCAGAGCTGTTCTTTGTGCTCCCGTGTCCAAGGCAAGGTAGTGAGATCTCGCTGCTGAAACTCTTACTGAGGCGTGTATTAATTTCCTAGGGCTACGGAAGCAAAGTACCACAAGCTGGGTGGCTTCAAACAACAGAAATTGATCTCTCACGGTACTGGGTCTTAGAAGTCCCTAGTCAAGATGTTACACGGCCATGTTCCATCTGAAGCCCTTAGGGGAGAGTCCTTCCAGCTTCCCAGCCAGGGTTGCCTCTAGGTTGCAGGCAGGCCTAGATGTTCCTCGGCTTGTGGCAACTTTACTCCAATCTCTGTTCACAAGGCCTTCATATAGGAATACTTGTCATTGGATTTAAGGTACACCCTAATCCAGTATGACCTCATCTTAACTAATTACATCTGCTGGGTGAGGCGGCTCATGCCTGTAATCCCAGCACTTTGGGAGGCTGAGGCAGGAGGATTGCTTGAGCCCAGGAGTTCAAGACCAGCCTGGGCAACAGAGCGAGACCTCGTCTACAAAAAATAAAAAAAAATTAGCTGGGCGTGGTGGCACGTACCTGTAGTCCCAGATACTTAGGAGGCTGAGGTGGAAGGACCGTCTGAGCCCAGGTCGAGGCTGTAGTGAGCCATGATTGTGATCATGCCACTGCACTACATCCTGGATGACAGAGTGACACCTGGACTTAAAAAAAAAGTGCTGCTGGATGTGATATAAATTAATCAATAAATTGCATTTGCAAAGATTCTATTTTCAGATAAGGTCACCTAAAATTGTGGGTGGATATGATCTTTGGGGGGCATTATTTGACCCAGTACAGGGAGTCTTTGTGAACTCCTTTACATTCTTTGGGGTTCAACGTTGCATTGTGGAATAGACATGGCGGTGATGTAGTTTGGATATTTGTTCCCTCCAAATTTCATGTTAAAATTTGATTCCAGGTGTTGGAAGTGGGAGGTTTTTGGGTTGTGGGGGTGGACCCCTCGTGAGTGGCTTGGTGCTGTTCTCACTGTGAAGAGAGTTCTCATTCTATTAATTCCCACAAGAGAGGATTGTTAAAAAGAGCCTGGTTTCTCCATATTTGAGGTACTTAAAAGAAAATGAAAAAATAAAAGAAGAAAGTCTAGTGCTTCCTTCTCTTGCTTTCTTCTCACCACGTGATGCTTGCTCCCTTCTGCCGTAAGGGGAAGCTTCCTGAGGTCTCACCAGATGCAGACACTGGCACCATGCTCCTCGTATAATTTGCAGAACTGTGAGCCAAATAAACCTCTTTTAAAAAAATAAATGATGCAGCCTCAGGTATTCCTTGATAGCAACACAAATGGACTAAGGTGGATAAAATTGTATACAAAGAAATGAGGGAAGACAGGTGACAGCTCTTCAGAAGTGGTTGGATAGGTAGAAATATAGATGAAGTTCGAAATGACATTCTTTTGACTGAGTGCAGTGACTTGTGCCTGTATTCCCAGCACTTTGGGAGGCTGAGGTGGGAGGATCACTTGAGTCCAGAAGTTTAAGACCAGCCTAAGCAACATAGCGAGACCTCATCTCTTAAAAAAAAAAAAAAAAATTAGCTGCATAGTGTTGCATGCCTATAGTCCTAGCTACTCGGGAGGCTGAGGTGGAAGGATTGCCTAAGCTCAGGAGATCAAGGCTGAGGTGAGCCATGATCGTGCCACTGCTTTCCAGTCTAGGAGACAGAGTGAGACCCCAACTCAAAAAAAACCAAAAAAAACCCAAAAAACCATTCTCTTGGATGAAATGTAAATTGCAGTCGAGATTCCAAAGACTCTAGACTTGTTAGATTTAGGGAAGGAGATCTCTGACCCTTCTCCTGTTCCCTTCTTGGTATAATTCCTCCGCTCTACCTTCCTGATTTAAGAAACTGTGAGCTACCTTCCTCCTACCCCGATTATGAACAAACTCACCTAACTTACAACTCTCGATAAAGGGAGTATCTTGCAATAGTCATGGGATGCTGACCTAGAGAAAATGTCCCCCTTATTTTTCATCTGGACCGTGAAGCCAATTTGTATAGTGTTTATTATGTCCAGTTGCAATAACAATAGTTTTCCTTCCTTAGTACAGAGCTAAGTGAGAAGGAGGAAAACCCCTCTCTGTCTTACCAAAGGGTCTTAGGGTCCTAGCGATAGGGTTTCCATCAGATAGGCTATTTCAGGCTCAAAGCAGGCCCAGAATTCCAGAGACCAGGAAGAAATTATTTAAGGGCACCCTGGGGGATTCTAGTGGTTGCTAAGAGGGGTCTATACTCAACTAGATCATGATTATTCTTTCTCAGTCTGTTAAAAATGTAACGACTATCCCAGAACTTGGCTGGCTCTTTAAGGACATCTGGCTTACCGCCAGCGTGCTTTTCAGGTAGCTTCCTGCCTTCAGAGGTATCCACAAACCTACACCAGAGACTTTATCTAGTCCGGGTCCCTCAATGCCCTGGGAAGTGGGACCAGAAAGAACTCCAGCCTGTGGTGTTGGTTACAGAAAATGAAGGGATCCAAGGTATCAAAAGTAGGTAACAAAATAACATCAAGAAAGTATGCCCCTAAATCTAAGAGGATATACAAGAAATTCTAATCCGCGAAGAAATTCTAATCCGCATAGTTCTTAAGGTGAAATCTAGCCTCAGGACAGATAATAAATCAGGGTGTGAGTCACCCCTCTTTAGCTGGAATGACAAGAGACCCAGACCATGGCACTAGAGACTTAAGGGTTACCCACACCCACATTCCTTTTCATGCCTCACCTGTCCCAGGTATGCACTAAAACTACAGCTAAAAATAACTGCAGAAACCTGAAGTCTGGGAAATGGCGTTGCATAGTCTCACCTGGAATAAAGTGCTGATTGGTGCCCGTGGAACGGTGACAGGAAGGAGATGGGTTCATGGGGAGCCGTGCAATCTCTAGCAGGTGGACCCCAAGGTCTGCTCAGATTCCTGGTACTTCTGTCTGCTCATGGCCATCTGCCCACCTAATAGCATGTCTCCTGTCACTCTTGCCTTTCAGTAACCTGCCAATGCCACCTAAGGGGCTGGA